TTTTTAACTCATGCTTTTTTAATAGTGGCATACCATTCCATTATATGAATATTCTGTAACAACCAGTTCTCTATGGATAGGTATTTTTTTTTTTTGCTTGTTTCCCCCCCTCTTATAAACTATAAGGGACTGAATTATAACCTTCCCAAATTCATATGTTGAAGTCCTAACTCCCAGTACCTCTGAATGTGACTGTATTTGGAGATAGGACCTTTAAGAGGTAATTAAGTTAAAATGACGCCATTATGGCGGGCCCTAATCCAATCTGATGCCCTTGGAAGAAAAGACTAGGATACACAGAGAGATATCAGGGATGGGCAGAGAGGAAAGACACAGCAAGAAAGAAACCATCTGCAAGCCAAGGAGAGAGACCACAGAAGAAACCAAACCTGCCATCACCTTGATCTTGGACTTCTAGCTCCAGAACTATGAGAAAATAAATTTCTGTTGCTTAAGCCACCCCGTGTGTGGCATTTTGTTATGGCAGCCCTAACAACTAATATACAAACAATATTACATTGAATACTTTTTTATATACAACTTTCCTTATGTGTGTGTGATGGTTTATGAAGTTTCAATTATTCTCAGATGTGGAAATGCTGGATTAAAGGGTATGTGCTTATTTTATTTTGACAAATACTGCCAAGTTACCTTCTATAAGATTGCACTAATTTATATTTTCCCCAATTGTGTAACGAAAAGGATAATTTTTCCTGCATCCCTTCCCCATGTAATTTTCATCTCTGCCAGTTGGTAGGCAGAAAATAGTGTTTTGTTGTCATTTTAATTTGCATCTCTTTAATTAGAAGAGAAGTTAAACTTATTTTTACATGTTTCTTATTCATTTATATTTTTTTCTATGAACTACCAATTCATGTCCTTTGCTCATTTTTTGGAGTGTTGTCTATTTGCTGTTGATTTATGAAAGGTCTGTGTATATTAAGAAAATGAGTCCCCTACCTGTCATACACATCTTAAATATTTTCCAGTCTTTCCTGTGCTTCACATTCATATTTCTTATTCATTTTATGTCTTACAGGCCTTTAATGTTTTACACAATCACATTTATCTTTTTTTTTCCATTTTGGATTCTTGGTTTTATGGTTCTTTAGAAAATCTTTCTCCATTTCATAATTATTTTTAAAAACCTAGTGCTTTTATGGTTTTAGACGTTTACAGTAAATATTTGCAGTATCTGGAAAGCCCTGGGCACTTTACAAAAACCCATAAAATTATTGTTTCCCATCATAAAGGAATTGCAACAACACAAGGAATAGGGAGTCAAAAATGTAGAAGCAATACTGGCCCTGACACTTTACTTCTAGTTCTAGTCTTCAGTCTATTGTCTTATCTGCAAAATGTGGTGTCATGGACTAAATCATGCCCCCTCCTCCCAATCCGTATGTTGAAACCCTAATCCCTAAGGTGACTCTATTTGGAGATAGGGTCTTTTAGGAGGCAGTTAAGGTCATGAGGTTGGACCCTTGATCTGACAGGACTGGTATAAGAAGACAAAGAGACATGATAGCACTCTTATCTCCACATGCATACTGAGCAAAGGCCATGTGAGAGCACAGCGAGAAGGAAGCCATCTGCAAGCCTGAAGAGTTCTCACTGAGAACCAACCTTTGGCACCTTGACCTTGGACGTCTAGTCTCAGAACTGCGACAAAAGAAATTTCTGTTGCTCAAGCCACCCAGTCTGTGGTATTTTGTTATGGCAGCCTGAGCTGACTAATACAGGTGAATCAAGATAATATATTTCAGAAGGATTTTGAGAGGTTCATATTCGATTTGCAAACGAAAGATTATAAACAACAAAAAGTCATATGATAGCTAACTATGAGTAATATTTAATAGATAACCATAGTTAGTAATTATGTACTCTTGAGTTTAATAATTGGATTAAAATTTGCCAACGGCTTGTTGACAGGGTAGGGACAGGCTTGCTGTAGGAGTTTGAAAGGATTTATTAACTAGTGGAGAATACCTCTTGCTGTTGTTACTGGCCCTGCAAATCGTGCAAAAAACCTGGCTGGCTTCAGGATGATGAGTGGAGGAACGTTTATGCTTTGTCCTCTGACAGGCCACTGGAGTACAACATTTCATGTCAAAATGGGACAAATGACCCAAGTGATCAAACTCCAAATTATGGAAATAATCATCAAAAGCTACATGGTTTTGCTTCCAATGCAACACTTCAAAGATCAGTAAATGACATAAATAAAAATTGAGAAAACTCGTAAGGGTAGATGAAAGAGAATTTTCCAAAATTAAAAAAAATTAACTAAGTTCAGCTGATATATTTTCCTGATGTTTTTCTATTTTAATCCATTAAACCAAACACATGAGCACTTACTGTTGGATTATTTTTGAGATGTCTACCAGCTCCCCTACACTCTCCTTCTCATTATGAACTAGAGTTTCTGGGTTTTATAATATGGTTTAAAAGATGGGTTCCAGGCTCAATCTTGGAATATGAAAGCTCATCCCACGGTACTGGGTGTTTTCATATATTTTAAATAAGATCTAGTTGGCTCTTTATCCAAACTTAAGGAGAAAACAGAAGTTCTATGGTAATAAAAATAAAATTGGGTTTAATTTTTTCCTTTCCATCTGGGCTGACCTAGAAAATGGTTTGGTCACTGCAGCAGCTGGACTTCCAGATGTCGCAGCCAAAAGCAGCCTTTGGGACATCTGCACGGGGATGCTGGCCTCGGCATAACATAAGGCAGTGAGCAGCGCTAGCTTAAGGAGACACCTTCCCTCATTTCCAAATTGCCTTAAACCTGGGTGTTCTAGGGCCTCTGTGGCCCCAGGTAAGAGGGACTTGTGTTCATAAAATAATGGCATAGTCCATTTTTTCTATTTTAGCCACTCCCCTTGCCCCATTTTTTTTTCAAGTATGAAGAACTGCCAGGCTTCTCCCTTCTTTCTGAGAGGAAAAAAAAGTCAATTCCAAAATGACATACTTGTCCAGCATCATTTTCTCCAAAAACTCAAAACATATTTTTAAATATTACTTGTTTGCATAGCCACTGGATAGATGACAAATATTAAATTTGCAAAGAGGAAAAGCTCCGGAAAAAAGACTCTCCAGGGATTTTCGTGAGAGAAAAGTTACAGAGTTAGACTGAGATGTTTGCATGTTTTATACCACTACAAAACAAAATTCCTGCAAAATATAGTCTTTGTGCTACTATACATCCAAATCACCCAGAATTCCTCCTCCAAATTAAAAATTGGGGTAGTCAACATAAGTAAAGAAGGTATTATAGGGTCCTCAACCATGTACTTCCAGAATTTTAATGGGAAATGGGCAACGGATGGATATTATGGTGTTCCTCCCCCCACCCTCACCCCAAAAATCTCTAAAAAATACAAATTAATAAAAGATCCCAATAATTTATAAAGAATTATTTAAAAAATAAATCAGGTTGAGATGTGCATTTAGAATGCACTGGATCTTGATGATCATTAAGTGGAAAGACAGGGAAGTACTGTGGCTGGTTGACATATAAGTTCTTTGGGATTTTTTAAGCCCAGCTGGGGAAGCCATGCACACAACTGCTGCTTGTTTCCATGAGTCATATTAAAGAGCTTAGACCAGGGCCATCATCAAAGAAGCTGTGCCTTCTGGTTAATTCTGCTTATAAATATATCACAGCTAGTTCTTCCCAGAGATATTGAAAAAATTTTATTTGCTCTTTAGGTCATTTTAATGAAATGCTGACTTTCAGTTTGAGAATTTTGGCACTATCCCAATTGCTAATAAAAAGAATTAGGAAAGATATCCTTCTAAATATATGCCATCAGCCCCTAAATATACTTCAGTATCTAAGGAAAACTTCCATTGACTCTCTGGGATGAATTTGTTTATGTCTGTGTCTATGTAAGAGCCAACACATGGTCTTAGAAGGAATTATTCAGACTCTGGGATCAAAGTGTACCTTTCTTCATATGTAAACCGGTTCCAACAAACCAAACAATCATAATAGGCTTTGATGCCTTGTTAGCAGCCCATATAGAGATTTTAGACCAATCTTGGATATCCAAGAAAGACAATCCTAGCAACAGGGCTAGAAGGAAGCATTTTGTGAATGAATGTGTAGAAACTTGTGTGATTCTAGGCAAGTCGTTCAATCTTTCTAGCTCTCTGTGTCCAAAATTCCTTCCAGCTTTAACAACCTCTTATTTATAATTTCCCAAAATTGAAATTTCCAATTCCAAAATTATCACTGAGCATATAAAATGAGACCTTTATGTCCTGGACCTGGAGGGGGTCAAAATACTGAAGAATTAGATATGATTGCTGTCTACCAGGATTACACACCAGACAAGATATACACATGGGAAACCATGAAATAAAGATAGAGATTAGGAACACAAATGATAGTCAGGAGAGCAATTGCAGAGAGAGTAATGTGGCCAGAAAAATAATAATGTAATTCTAAAAGGGTAAGTTAGATTTGAATTAAAAGGCTTAGATGCAATGTATTCTTCCTCACCTTATTTTTTCTCTCCACTTTGGCATGTTCCCCTTACCAATGCCTTCCTTCTTCTGACACTAATTTGTCAAATCCTCTCCCTTCTTTAAAAGCTTCCTGGAATTTCTTTTTCTAATGAGATTGTTTTTTCTTTTTGTCATTTCTTCAAGACAAATTGTAGAACAAAGCAACATATGACATGTATTTACTAAATTTTTGTTGATAATGGTGGTAAAAACTCATTCCCCAAGATAGCAGCTTAATAATTTAATAGACTAATCATCTGTTCTGAGTGCTACTATATATTATATTAATACTAATGACATAATAATATAATTTAGTAATATATAATATATATTTATGTACAATATAATATTATATAATTATATGTATATATACAATTTACGTGGGTACATATACATATATACACTCATATACATATAATATAATTATATGCATATGATAATTACATAGAATATATATTATGTTAAAATATATATATTAATAAATTTCTAGATGATGGAGAAAATGAAGTAGTGACCACTGCTTGACATTCTGGATTCAATAAAAGTAAGTCATAACATACCTCTTTTCTTTAGTTAGCAAAATTGACAGAAGGACAAAATATAGAAATGCAGTGTCTAAAGACTTCCATTTAGAATTTTTTTAAACAAGTAAGGTCTAGAAGAAGGTTTAGTTAAATCGGTGCTTGTGTTGAACAACTATGTTTAAAGAACATTCTTCAAGGTAAACCTGATGGGAGGTTCCAACTGAGTGCACAGGACCCTATACTCAGTTCTGTCCTGCCCCACATTTTAATCAAGGACTTGGATTAAGTTATATAAAATTTGCTTAATAAATTTTTTGATGCTTTGAGGCTAGAATGATAACTTATTTTGTTTTCAGAATCTGAGAGATTTTCAGAGACTCAAAAGAAAAAATGAATCTAAGGTTGAATTTTACAGAAATAAATAAAAAGCCTGTATTTTAAAGCAAAAACAGAAAGGTTGAATCAGTTATGGAGTGACAGGATTAATGATTTCCGTTAATAGTTGATTCTTAATCATCAGAGGTGTGATGTACCTTTTAAATAAGTTAACACGTCCATATAGTATGCAAAAAGAAAAAAGTAGTTACAAGTTTATTCTACTTTATTCTACTTACTCAGGGCCATATATTTATATTGCACCTAAAATATTTTTGGAGTAGTATATTTAAAAAATGGACAAAGGAGACTGCATCTAGCAGGATGTCACCAGGATGGTTGAGGAAACTAGAGATAATCAGATGATGCAAAGACACTTTTTGGAGTGAGAAAAGTAGCAGAGAAGAGGCTTGTGCAATTCAAATATAGATGTTCTCATTCAAGACGTAAGAGAAGGCCAAGTAAATAAAAATCACAGATGACATAAGAATATTCGAAGAAAAGTGTTTAAAAGACATACTGAGTTGTTTTATGGGAGTAGGGAGTTCTCTTAGAAAGGATCTGGGCGGTGGTGCCTGGGTGGCTCAGTCGTTAAGCATCTGCCTTCAGCTCAGGTCATGATCCCAGGGTCCTGGGATCAAGCCCCGCGCTGGGCTCCCTGCTCAGCTGGGAGTCTGCTTCTCCTTCTCCCTTTCCCTCTCCCCCTGCTTGTGTTCCCTCTCTCGCTGTCTCTCTCTCTGTCAAATAAATAAATAAAATCTTTAAAAAAAAAAAAAAAAGAAAGAATCTGGGGATTAATGGGTATTTAAATCAATGGCCTTTAAGTTAGTATCTGTTGGAAGATAACTCTCCATGGATTTCTAATGTGTTTGCATGTTTTGTGAGCTACAGTTACTGCCAGTGTTTTAATCATAACTTGGTCTTAATTTAGGTATAGTGAGACCATACACAGATCAAAGAGAGAGCTGTCTTGGAGTCATGAAAGTTTATGATACTGTTCCCCAGGGAACAGGGCCCCAGGGAGAAACGCCAGGGTCAGTCATGAGGCAGGGAAGGAGAGAGAGCAGAACTGCAGGCAAAGACTTCTATTGTGATTTCCACAGGAAGGAGGAAGCAAAGCAAGGAAGGATGCTCTGGGATTGGTAAAGTACAGTTAAAAGTGACACCTTTGCAAACTCATGTAGGGCTCAGAGTATGGAGAGTCCGGGTGGTTAACTCAAGTCCCTAACTGTTCACCTAAAGTAGTTGACATCTGTCTTGAAGATATTAAAGCATCAAGTTACAGAAACTACAAAACATAGTTAATACAGATTCTTTTGTTCAAAACTATCTTTTCACTTTTGTGTACACAGAAAACAGCCTTGGAAATTAGATATGGTGTCTCCTTCTAGAGCAAGGTAAGTTTATTTACTGTCTAGTATAATAAAGATAGTGTCTCCTTTCATAACAAAGGGAAGACAAAGTTATTGCTCATTACAAAATATTATGATTCTCTAAGCTTGGGGTTCATCTCCTCTAATGTACCCATTGCATGTACAGGTCTCACTTGGCCCTCCTTGTGTTGCCTTATGAGAACTGGAGCTCAGGAACCAGAGCAAATACTGATACTTCGACCACTGCTATGTCTGTGGTTAATAAATTGTCCTTTGTCTCTGACCCAAGAGTCTCTTGTCTTCTGCCAGCATCCAAGAAACTGTGACTGGCTAACTTGTTAGCATGCAAATAGGACAAAATCTAAGACTCTTCACCATTCTTGACACTAACTTCTGAAATCATGATTTCATGATTTCTGTGATTTTTAAGAGTTTGGGGACAATGCCTTAGTACAAACAAGGTATACTAATGATGAGAATTCCAATACCTGGTAGTGTGGTAAAGAGGTGACCAAGAGCAGGCAGGACTTTGAAGAGACTACTGGAACAAATTTCATGGAAAACCATCTGTTCAGGCTCTGCCATGGCTGGTTCTGATGCAGTGTAAGGTCTTCTGCACAGTGTGGATGGAGGCAGGATATATAGACCCACTTCCCATGGAAATTGCATTATTTCAAAGTTCTATTGAACAGGATTTTCTGGGGCACCTGGGTGGTTCAGTTGGTTATGCATCTGCCTTCGGCTCATGTCATTATACTGGGGTCTTGAGATCAAGCCCTGCGTTGTCGGGCTCCCTGCTCATCGGGGAGCCTGATTGTCCCCTTTCCTTTGCCCCTTCCCCCTGCTCATGCTCTCTCTCTTGCTCTCTTTCTCAAATAAACACATAAAATCCTAAAAAAAAAAAAAAAAAACAACAAGGATTTTCTGTTTTGGAACTATGACATAACCTGAACTATATTTGAATCCATGAAATAGTTGACTGAATCATCCAAAACTCTTATTTTATATTATATGGTCCCAAAAATACATGAAGATTTTTCTGGCAAACACATGGCCTATTAATTTTACTATCAACACTGGATTACATTTGTTTTCCATGAGACCTTCCCATTGGTGTAATTGAAACAGTGAAACTATAATGTAAGGTTTTTTTTAACATATCAATTATTTGGGGGAATAGTGATAAAAGACTGATTTATTGGGGCACCTGGGTGGCTCAGTCGTTAAGCGTCTGCCTTCGGCTCCGGTCATGATCCCAGGTTCCTGGGATCGAGCCCCGCGTCGGGCTCCCTGCTCCATGGGAAGCCTGCTTCTCCCTCTCCCACTCCCCCTGCTTGTGTTCCCTCTCTCGCTGTGTCTCTCTCTGTCAAATAAATAAATAAAAAATCTTTAAAAAAAAAAAAAAGACTGATTTATTTCCCTGAAATTCCAGCAGCTTTAGGAAGACGGATGCCTGATTATTTGTATAAGTTTTTAAAAACAAAGTTTTACAATGATTTTACAAGTATTTTATCAAGTTGCAGGATGTGAACCATCACATGCACCTGAGAATTCCTGAATGTGTTGACTTCGGCATCACGTGCACATGCTGCGGTGGGATTTACTGTCTGGATTCTGCAGGTCTTGAGCTGAGGGAGAGAAAGCTATAATGAGTGTCAAACCTTGCCACTCATCCTACCTCTCACATGATTGGGTTTGGGACAGATGCTTCCTCCAAGCTTGCTCTCCAATAAGGGGAGGCGGAGGGTATGACACCCAGTCTGAAATGGGAGCATGGAGCAGAATGCCAAGATCTCCTTGCGGACGAGTTGACAGCTGAAGACCGTGTGTGCCAAACTGGTGTCTGGCACAGGAATACCTCTGGTCGCTGACACACCACAGCCTCTACAATGAAGACTTTGAAAAATGAAAGGGAAAAAAGTTTCCTTATTGAAATAAGTGTAGTTAGGGTGGGAAATCTGCTCTCATTGTTTATAAAAATAATACATGCTGAGAATGGAGTATAAAGCAGAGCTTTATCCCACTAGATTTTTTCCTCATATTACAGAGAATAATATGGGGAAAAATGGAAGTTAATAACATGTCTTCAATTGGAGGGCTTATGATTGGAGAAAAGACCATCTTTTTTTTTTTTAAAGATTTTGTTTATTTGTCAGAGAGAGAGAGCGCGCGCATGAGCAGTGGGAGGGGCAGAGAGAGAAGCAGACTTCCCTTTGTGCAAGGAACCCAATGCAGGACTCGATCCCAGGACCCTGAGATCATGACCTGAGTCAAAGGCAGATGCTTAACCAACTGAGCCACCCAGGTGTCCCAGAGAAAGGACCATCTTAAAAAGAAAAAGAATTGTTTGTTTCACGGAAAAAACCTCAGAGTCTTTGAAACTGAGCAATATTTAGGTGACCTGTAGAAGCAGGGAAGCATCCATACTTACATTCATGATTGATCAATGGAATGAATAAAGCCCTAATTCACTCCAGTAGACTTGTAAACCATGGGAACACTGGCGAGAATTTCAGGTCAGGCATATGCGGCAAAGAGCCCCTGCCCTATGGACCCAGCATTAGACACAATTCATGAGGAGGATCCCAATCTTTCGTTCTTCTGACAAACTTGGCCCCTGTATTTTTCTTGGGCTCTGTATCTGACTGGCTCTGTTATTCATTAGACAAATCAATTTAGTTCTCAGAGTTCCCTCATCTGTTCTCTGGTTCCCTGATTCATTACAGCTTCCCATTCTTTTCCCATTAGTTTCTGAGTTCACACTGATCACTCCTTTCCATCCCCAGTTTTCTTGGCATCAATTCTCATGCCTGATCCCTCCACCCTCATCCACACCTGTAGCTCCCATCCCAGTCAGAGCATCTTTGTCTAACAGTTGACACAAGAGTTCATTTGCCTCTTGAGGGCATGTGAGCCTATCACATCAGTAGCACTTTGTTCTGGCCACCCTATCAAGAAGTATCACTTGCCGGGCCCCTGGGTGGCTCAGTTGGTTAGGCATCTGACCCTTGATTTCGGCTCAGGTCTTGATCTCAGGTCATGAGTTTAAGACCCACGTTCTTAAAAAAATTCTGGTTACAAAGCTCAATACTATAAAAATGTCAGTTCTCCCCAAATTGATTTAAAGAGTCAACATAATTCTAGTAATATCAGGTGTGTGTGTGTATGTGTGTGTGTGAAGTGATAAGCTGTTTCTAAATTTTTACAAAATTGAATAGGTCTAAGAGTAACCTCAAGGGGTACAGAAAAAGAGGAATTACACCATTAATAAAATTATTATAAAGTTGTAAGAGTAATCTTCAAGAAGAACAGAGTTAAGGGAATTACATGCTGGATATTAGGACTCATTATGAACTTTGAAGACATTATAAAGTTATAAAAAGCAATCTTCAAGAAGAACAGTCCTGGAGGAATTACATTGATGAATATAATGATGTCTTTTAATTTACAGAAAATAAGAAGGTGGGATATTTGTGTAAGAATGGACAAATAGGCTAATGGAAGAGAATAGCAAGCATAGACAAATACCCACACATTTAAGTCACTTGATTTTTGACAAAAAGGATACTGCAGTACCATCTATATAGGAAGGTCTTTCCAGTAAATGGTGCTGGGTCAACTGGATACTCATATTTTTAAAAACAACCCTACCTCACACTGTGTACTAGGTTTCTTCCAGATGGATTACACTATCCCATTTTAGTTAATGGATACCTTATCCTTCCAATTGCTCAGTCATCTTGATTCCTCTTTCTCTCTTACATTTTACATTAAATGCATCAGCAAATCCTTTCAGCTCTTCTATAAAGTATAATCAGCATTAGATCAATTATCCCCACTTTAAGAATACACTGTGGTCCAAGTTGTTATCCTGTCTTGCCTGGATTATATAACATAATATTATTATAGTACCTATCTTAGTTTGGATTCCTCCAAATTACACCAAAAATGGTGTAATTCCTCTTTTTCCGTGTTCCCAGGAGGCATGGCGAGTAGATGGAGAATGGAACAGGGACAGTGGATGGAGCTTCATTAAAGAGTGAGAGTCTGCTCTGGGACGTGGGAGCTCGGTTCTGCTGGGGACCCTCTGAGAGATTGTGCAGAACACAGCTCAGACTTGTCCCACTGAGAGAAACCAGAGTCTTTATGCACCAACTCCCATGCCATTCTTGGTGGGTCAATTCTAAGTGTAGCGCCCTGGTACTTCCCCGCTGTTGTTATCAGGCAGAGAAACAGGAAGTAGTCAGTATACATGAGAGCCCTACAGGTGCCTCTGGAAGTGAACCAAGACTCTGTGGACCGGAGAATTACAGCTTCTGCTCTACCGTCCAGCGGATCTCCTTGCTTCCATCCTCTTAAATCTGTTCTCACCACAGCCGCCAAAACCAGAACTATTTAAAGCATTTCAGATTACTTTTTTTTTTTTTCTCAAAATCTTCCAATATCTTTCCAATGCACTCCAAAGAAAAACTCTGGAGTGTTACTATGACTCATAAAAAAACCAATTACCTGGCCTCTCATTATATATTTTTAAAATCTTATTGACTACCACTCTTCCTGATTGACTCCAACTTCTTTACTCAGTAGATACTTTCCTGATCAGGCTTTTTGCTCTATCTAAAATTTCAGCACCCACCCTTGTTATTTTATATGTCTCTTCTTTGTTCACTTACTGTAAGCACTCTCTATCCTAATTTAGATGTCATTCTAATAAAACTTGGATTATTGTTCTTTCCTGCTAGAAATATAACCCCCATAACCTACACTCCCACTCCCTCTCAGTATTGTGTGCCCAGTGCTTAGAAGGTTTGGCTGGCTTATAGTAGATGCTTAATAAATATTTGTCATTGAATAAATTAATCATAATTTGTAGATAATATTTTTTGAGAAAATCCAAGATAATCCATTTAATAATTAACAAAATTATATCAGTTATAAGTGGTTATACAATAATTATAATAATAAACATATAAAGCATAACAAAAATCTAACAATCTAATAGTAAAACAATCCACTAACACTTTATCAAGAAGTGTGTGAGACCTATGTTAAAAATAACCCCACAAATATTTTTTGAAATGCAAATCAAAGTTTTGCTATTTGAAGAGACGTATCATAGAAATATTAATTCTCCCCCAAATTAATTTACATGTTTATCCAAATTCCAATAAAAATCCCACCTCCTTAAAAAATTGTATGGTTTTAGAACATTAAAAATTATTCTAAACTTTTTTTAGAACACTAAAGAGATGAGCTTAGCCATGAATTTTATGGGAGCACAAAAAAGGGGGGAAGAGTAGCTAAGGAGGAACTTTATTAGATGTTAAAACTTTATATAAAAATTTAATATAGTGGTAAAATCAATGGATAAATCAATGTAACAGAATGTATAGGCCTTGGTGCTGATCATAATACCTAAGAATCTAGCATATGATAAATAAAGTATCTTAAATCAATGGGGAAAATAGCTTTGTCCCAGTATTTTCACTGTCTGAAATTCTTTCTAAAAAGTTAATAGGAGAAAAAGCCAAGAATTCCTAAACAAATGCATTCATCACACATGATTTAAAACAAGGTTGGAAACAACTAACTGTCCTGTAACATAGCAGAATGATTAAACGAACTAGGGCAGATCCACATGATGAAATAGAGCCCTTAAAATTACATTTTTGACAATTTTCACTGATACGGGCAAATAATTACAATATATTTTCAAGAAACTATAAATCAAGTATGATCATAAATATATACATATTCCTTATGCAAATATGTAAATATTATATGTACAAAAAGACTGAAAAAATATACACCAAAATGTTATATATGCATTTTTACAAATAAGCAAAAATATGAGATGCTTAAATCTCCTGATTAAAAGGAACTGAAAGGAGTAATTACGTAAGTCTATAAAATTATTGAGGGTATATATGGACAAAGTTAGCAATGACTTTTCCTTTTTAAACCTCGAGCATCTTATATTGGAAAAAAAATTAAGATTCCTTCAAATTATGGATATTGTAGATGTCATTATAGATGACTTCTGGTCTTTTTAGATAATCATGCTACCTACATTACCACAGTCCCAAGTAGTTTACAATCGTATTTCAACTATAGATGATTCAAAAAGCTTTTAATATAAATGGAACTTCAAAAACTTTTTCTTTCTAGTTTATTTTTCTTTTTGAATACATCTGGTAAACATGGATAACATATAGAAATATTGCCAAGATCATATTTTTGTGTTTTAGACAACTACATGTAAATTTATGTATGCCCCTGATTCGTAGATACTGTGAAAATTATTTGGTGTAATTCTTTAACACTAATCTGTATGTCTGTAGGCACAAATAAAGCAAATTTCAACAAATCCTCATAAAACCAAAAGCTTACATAAATAGAAAAGACTTGTAAGATCAGAATAGAAAACTGGGTTCTTCTGGATTAACTGCAACTATTATACACAACTAAACTTTTACATTTATTTGAACCCACAGCATCATTTATTTAGTAATTTGTTCTTAAATTTTGTCCCTTTTAAATTTGCTTTGACCAGGAACATCCGGTCATCTGACTATTTTTTCCATACTTATTAGGCTCTAACATTCAATTTTTAATACAAATTTTTAAGTTAAAAAAAAAGAGAGAAAAGGAAATTTGAGGTGTACCTCCACCCTTAATCTCTTTATCAGAAAAATAATGCAACACATTCTCTTACCTGCTAATGAGCAATCATCTAAAAATAAAAATGCACTCCCCCACGGCAGCCAACAAAGCTTCTATTCTAAGAAAACAATTTATTTCCTTGTTTTGATGATTTTTGTCTTTTGTAGCCTGTCTCCAATGAAAGAGAGCTTTGAATTCCCCCCAAGACCACAAAATACCCCCACTTCTCCCTCATCATTGTGGTTACCAGTTTATTTATCAGTTGTGGCAAATGGCAACCCTTTACACCATACTTAGCTAAATAGTGTTTGCTTTAGGAACAAAGCACAGAGGACAAATATTTCAGTGTGGTTTTCCATTTGGGGAGGTAGTGGGACTAAGTCTTGAACTCCAGCTGATTCTTGTCCTCTCAGACCCATGGTTTCTGGCAGCTAAAGCTTCAAAGAGCCCTTATGGTGCTGAGGAGACCCTTTGTCTCTGCCTTGTACAGAAGAGGCAGGAATTCAACTGAGGCAATTAACCTGAGAAGTCCCTAGCTTCTAGGCCCCCTAGCAAGGAGCAAGTGGAAAGACAACTACAGCACCCTGAGTTAATTATTACATAAACAGTTCATAGGCAAGCAGGGTCTCTTCTTTTAAGAATCCTCTGCAAGGGACTTTTCTTGGTCAGGACTTATGGTGATTCTAGTAAACTAAACCGAGAATGAATGTTAACTCAAGCAAAATCAAAATGAAAAGAAACTACCTCTTCTCAAGGCTACCCAATATAAATCAAAGAAAATCCCCTTCAAGCCTGAAATATTAGCGGAGGTCGAATGGTAAAGGAGAGAATGCACTCTATTTTATATAATTAAAAAAGCACGTCAGTTATGACCCACTGAATTGATTTCATGGTGCACTAATGGGTCACGATCCTCAGTTGGAAAAACACTGGTCTTATGGGAGCCCATTTATGAGTGGGAAAAGATTTAGATCTGGTGCATTGAGCCCGTGAGTACTCCACATGTGTAATTTTTTAAGGCAGAGCTGCCTGAGAAAAAGGAAGTATAGGGTTGCAGGGCCACCAAGGAGAAAACCCTACATTTTTTAAATCAGTGTTGGATTTCCCAGAGTCAGAAGCTGATGTGCAACAGTGTGGGCTATTTTAATGGTCTTGCCCATTTGTTTTTCTACAAATCTACGAGTCAGGTTTTTTTTGTTTTGTTTTTGTTTTTTAAGATTTTATTTACTTGTCAGAGAGAGAGAGAGAGAGAGCACAAGCAGGGGTAGTGGAAGGCAGAGGGAGAAGCAGGCTCCCTGCCGAGCGGGACTCGATCCCAGGACCCTGGTTTCATGACCTGAGCCAAAGGCAGACGCTTCACTGACTGAGCCACCCAGGTGTACCCATGATGTAACTTCTAAATTATGGGTCTGTCACTAACTAGTTATGTGACCTTGTGCCAATCACTTAACATCTATGAGCTGAGAGAAGCTGTGTGAATTTCTCACCTGTAAAGTAAGGGGTTTTAATGAAATGGGTAATGTGGGTCTCAGATTTAGATTCCATTAATTAAAATACACTTACCACTAGGCATTTAGGAATACTGCAACCAGGTGATGGAAATGTCCCTGTCGGCTAGATCTGTAGAAAATACAAACTTTGAGCTTTCATTTTAGCACCCAGACACTGACTTCTTTAAAAAGCTGCCTTGTTTGTAAAAAGCCCTCAGAAATCATTTCAGAAACAGAATAGAATTATAAAATCCAAACCTCTAATGACAATGTTTCAGCAGGAGGAAAAAAAAAAAAAAAAGCAGGCTGCAATATGATACTGTGTTGCTTAGATGCCAGAAGCCCTGCAAGATTTTGCTAGTGATATCATTGGTAATAGCTCCCTGGGAGGAAGGTTTTCCTCATCCAGTTTTTATGAGATTTTCTGTATCATCAATCCTATAAGGATTATGTAAAGGTGACTCTTCTGCTTTTTTTTTTTTTTTAAGATCTTTTAAAAAAATAATCTCAACACCCAAGGTGGGGCTCAAACCTACAACCTCAAGATCAAGAGTCAAACACTCCACCCACTGAACCAGCCAGGCTCCCCCGCGTTTTTTTTTTTTAATCTCAGTAATCAGTTGCCTCTACATTAAAGAAGGAAATCTAGTCTTAGCTGTTGGAAAAATAATTCCTGTTTTCCTTTTATACCCAGCCTTCCTCCTACTTCATTCCAGGCCAATGATCTATTGTTTAATTTCTTGGGAAGTCATTCAGAATGAGATCCTTCAGTTGTTCCTGGCCTTTTAGTCTTCCTCTCCCTTTCAGTTTCTTCTGGTCTAAAACAAATAAATGTTCTCCTTTCTGTGCATCCAATTTTTAATTAGAATCCAACCCATTTGGCTTCTCTAGTTGCTGAATTTGCCATCACAGGATTCTTTATAATAGTTTCTTATTGCTTTGTGTCTATAGAATAATAATATCTGTTTTATTCTTGAAATGAGTGATTTGTGGGGATTTTTTTTCTATTTTTTTCTCCTTGATCAACCTAAATTAAATTAAATTGACAAATGTGAATGTTGGATTAGTTACTTTTCATTGAAAATATACTATTAAGCTCAAGTTTAATAGACTAATATCTTTATTCAGGTTGGAAAAATGTCATATTAGCTGATTATATGGATTTCAACTTGAGCGATATTTTTAGAAGAAAAAGATATATTTTAATACGTATTGGTTCTTTTAGTTCAGTCCCCAAATGAAACATCGATGGAGTCTTTATGAAGATGAATTCTGCAAGTACATAGATGAGGTGTTCAGAATGTATTCTTGAGGACCCCTTTCCATACACAAGGTAGTCACCAGATGCACAACACATAAGCATGAAGAAAGTCTGCCACTGGTTTCCTTGCTGGCTGTGTCTCTCGGACCCGGGGTAAAGCGTGAGCTGTTGCAGGCATCTCTGTTTGCCAGGGGAAAGAAGAGCCAAGCCAGCATTTCCCAGGTAACCAAAGGAGTTCCCTCTCTTCACTCTGCAGCCCATTCCCAGTCTTATTATTCTCCACGCCTCCCTGTTCTGTCTGAATTGATTCCCCTTCTTCACTTCTATGTCGTATACAGGTTATTCCCATCCATTGGTTTACTTCTGTTTGGAGTAAATCAACTTGCTCATAGTGTGTCTTTGAGTAAAAAAAAAAAAGCACAGATTACAAAATTATGTGCATATTATTATATTTTGTACACATAGAAAAATGCCCATTATAGACTCAAATATGTTAGTCACACTTCTCTATGGATAAAGGATTATCAGTGTAATTCCTTTCCTTTTCCTTTTTAAAAAATTTTCTTATTTTTTTACCTTTATTTTTTATTTATTTATTTATTTTTTTTTTTGAGAGGGAGAAAGAGAGTAGTAGTGGGAGGGGCAGAGGGAGAGGGAGAGAGAGAATCTTGAGCAGGCTCCATGGTCAGTGTGGAGCCAGATGTGGGGCTTGATCTCAGGACCCTGAGATCATGACCTGAGCTGAAATTGAGTCAAACGCTTAACTGACGCTTAATTGAGCCATGCAGGCACCCCTTACTTACTTTTTTACCTACTTTGCTTTTTCTGGAATAAGCATGATTTTTTAAATTAAAAATATAAAGCTATTAAAAATCAACTAAGAAGAGATCATTAATATTGTCATTTTCAGCGTATCTTTTTAACTTTTTCTTTATCTCTGTTTTTACGTCTTTCACTAATTTTTCTAGAATAAAAATGATTTTTTGAACAAAAATATCAAAGGCTACAAAGAATCAACCAAGAAGACATCAAAGGAATTTTTCTAATTTGAATTCTAGCTGTTTTATGGAGATTGAAAAGATTACTATCCAAGAAATAATTTCCAAAACATAAATAGATTAAAACTGGATGAAAGGCCTGACATAGCCTTAGAATATAACAATAGAAGATTGAAGTCCCCATCTCCTTGGCTGGTTCTATATTCACATACATTATCTTGCCACTAAGCTTCGGTGTTCGAGTCATACCATTAGATGTAGACTCATTTTAGGAAGTCAGGGAAGAGAAAATGTCAAGTGGCTGACGTAGAGGAAATCTCATATGAAGAAAGCTTAGCTGCCTTTTCCCAACAAAGTTCTCAATAGTTAAAGGACAGATCAAATTTCTGTAGTTAGCTCATATGTATTGATATTATAATATATACCTTAGTTTGTACTAAGTCCTTAACTCATTTAGTCCTTACAACAATGCTATGAGGTAAGTAGAAATATTATCCCTGTTTTTGGGATGAGAAAATGGATACAAAACATCAATAAGCTAGTAAGTTAAGGAATGGGATTCAAAACCTAGCAGTCTGTCTCTAAACAACTATATTATACTGCTCAGAGAGAGTTTAGTCAGACTTTTACCCTGTGTGACAACAGAGGAAATAATGTTTGAACTACCATAGCATGTCTGAGAGAATTTACCAAGAAAATAGAAAGAACTCATTTCATTGCAGAGAATGTAATCATAGGGGTAAAGGAACTTGGGTGATGGCATCAGTTTCTACCTTCAGGCAGGTGGATGCCTCTTTCTTGCATGACAAATTTTTGTAAAAACATCTAATGATACAGATGCCTCTGTGGAGTAACCATGGAAGACAGCCTCCAAGACAGCTCCAAATGATCCTCCCCTCCTAACATTCATACCCTTGTGTAATACCCTCTGTTTGAGTGTGGGCTGGGCAAATAACTTACTTCTGACACAGAAGAGAGCAAAAGGGATGTGATGTCCCTTCTGAGATTCAGTCGGAAAGACTGTGACTTGTCATCTTACACATTCTCTTGCTCTCTTTCACTGTCTACCTCACTTGCTCTGAGGGATGCCTGGCTGCCATGTTGTGAGCCGCCCTATTGAAAAGTCCATGTGGCAAGGAGCTGACAAATTCAGCCAACAGCCAGGAGCAGGATCTTGGAAATGGAGCTGCCTGCAGCCCCAGCTGACAACTTGATGGCAACCTTGCAAAAGACCCTGAGCCAGAGACATTTAGCCAAGCTACTTCTGGATTCCTGACCCACCCAGGAACTATGAGACAGTAAATGTTTGTTGTTGTAAGCTGCAAGTTTGGGTTACTTTGTCTCCCAACAACAGGTGGCTAATACCAGGATAGACATTCATCACATTGCACCCCTTGGCAATTCTTTGGGAAAATGTGTACAATAGTTCCTCTCCTCATCCCCATTTTTGCTTTCTGCCAAGCAGAAAGTCAACTGTCTCCAGAAGCAAATTATCCTCCTTCTGTCATCTCATTAGGTCAATAGCAACCTCATGCTATGTCGCAATGCCTACGTCATTCACCTGACTGCATGGACCTGGCTATAAGCAACCAGTCTGGCAGCCCTGGCCGCGTGACAGCGTTCTCACCAATGGGATGCAAGACGTGTCCCCTCTGTCTCACTTGCGCAAAAGGAAATTGCTTGCTCTCCACTTCTCTTTCCCCCTTCTCATGAGCTAGAGGTCAGACATGCCAACAACCCACCTCCAACTGTGCGAAGAAGGTGGCAGAGCAATAAGGTGGTAGAGCCCTGGGTGGCTCCTAAATGATCACACAGAGCAACAGAGCCTCCAGATAACCCTGGAACACTCACTTCTGGATTGTCAAGTGAGAGGAGAACAATATCCACCTTGTTTGGGCCACTGAATTGTTGGGTCATTTTGTTACTGAAATTCAGCTTATACTGCAGGGGGTATTTCATCAAATTTAAGGTGCCATTAAGGTAAGAGGTCTCTCTACTTTTATGTCCTACAAAGAAAAAAGAAAGTGCTGCCAATTAAATCAGGATAAGCCATCAAAAGAAAAAAAAAAAGACCAATTCATATTTTAAGTAATTTAATAATATAGAATTTCTGGAATTAATAGAATAATGAAGCAATTTTATAATAACTATCTTCTTTAATGGATTATAAAATAAAACAATGTCATCATTTCCAATAAATTTTGAACAATAAGCTACAAACACAACACTGCCCATTTCCTAAAGGAAAGTTTGGGTTCTTGAGGATTCAAAGATTAGAGGTCATTGTAAATCATATGATATGGTTACTTTTCATCTTCAAACCAATAAAATGTTTTTTTTCCAAAGTGAATTTGCGGTGTTCTCTTAATCAAGACTTTGTGTTATGCTCACAAAATAATTGTGCAACATATATTTACTGAAAAACTATGAAAGTCAAGACACTTTATAGGAACATAACAAAAATAAAACTAGAAAAGTTAGAGGAAATATTTTTAAGAATTTTCTCTCCAATTCCCCACTCACTTATGAAATAGATTGAAAAAATATTTTTTCTTCCTTATCCAACTTTCACTTAGACTTCAATCGCTGAATATGAAAGTTAAAATTTTCTGAAAAAAAAAACCCATAATGTGTAACATGTTTTTGTTCCTCAAAATAATTTTAGAATTGTTTTTAAACTAGTAAAATTTATGTCTTACAGATATGCCAAATTTCTCAAATGTTCAACAGTTTTTAAAACATGTATTTCATGATTCTAGAATTTAAAAATATCTTACATCTTACTCTTTGACTTATCCTATGTAATATATATGACAATATTTAAAGTAAATTATCTCTTGGGCATCTCCAATTTGCTGCCAGCCTTCGTACCCCCAAGAATGTCAGTTCCTTGAAAGCAGGGATTTTCATCTGTTTTGTTTCCTGCTGTATCCCCAGGCCTGGGAGAGTGAATGCACAACACATAGTAGGTGCTTAGTGAACACTGATTGAAGGAATGACTGCATTTGGAAGAACAGGGTTGGGGTTTCGTTGGCATTCTTACTCCCATGTGTCTGGCTGTCACATGCAGATGAATACAAAATAGATAGCCTTTCCTTCTAGTATTATGATACTGGATTTCAACTCCTGTAAAGGAATTATATTTTGCTTTAAATGGGAATAAATGCAAAAATATTCTCAAAAGTCTGAAGTCAAAAAAAGAAAAACCCTTCCCCAACCTGTTATTTATCTTAATCTTTTTAGAGTGAGTCTTTGCGGTCCTCAGTCCCTAAGCACCTTGTAAAGATGAACTAGATCAAATTCAGAAAGATGAAAGGGAGTCAAAGCCTCAGATTAAAAAGCGAGCTAACTCCCAAATAGCGACGCGGGGCTGCAGTGTGTATCACGGGGGAAGAGCAAGTTACTAGTAAGAAGCCAAGATTCATTTGCTTGCTGGATTTCTCTCCTTTGTTCGTCCTCTCTCCCCAGTTCTATCTCTTACCATTCTTTACTCCTTCCCTTCCTCATTTCATTCTTTTACCCAGATCTCAGGGCTTTCTAAGAGATTTGGAACCTGATGGGCAGGGCCTTTCTTTTCACTGTACTTCTGTCCACTTATATTCCATGAAATGCATACTGGGTTACTTTTCTCTGGAATTTACTTTTAGAAAAACAACAACAACAACAAATTCCAAGAAAGAAAAAAAGCTGATGGGAATTCCTTTTCTCTTAAATACAACTTCCAATTTATGTCTTGAGGTTGGTACCCATTAGGTGAAAAAATCTATCCTTTTTTCCTCTTCTGTAATCATATCTGCATCTCCTGAACAGTAAGAATTAATTTTCATAACTTGGGGATAGAAACTTACATAGTTCTTTAGCAGTTTACAAATGTTATCTGATTTTAATCCTCACATAACTCTACAATTATAACCCAATAAAAGAAAAGAAAATTCTGTTACCACCACATAGAGAAGCCCTTGTATTTCACTCATATTTTATTTAAGCAAAATACATGCTGAAAATCACATCTGATTTTCATTGAAATTTCTTCGGCAGTTAGATGTGGGTATGAACTAGGGAATGTGTTTTCTTTGAATTCTGTA